CACATCCTGGCGGCTCCTGCCGGGGTCATCGCTGGGATCGCGGTCCGCCGAGCCCGCCCGCCAGATCTTGTCCCAGAAAAGACAAGGCCTGTGTGCAGACAGACGTCTGGCCGCGCGAGGGGCCACTTAGGGCCCTGGGCAGTTGGGGGCCCCTCGCGGCCGGGCAGGTGGGGGCAGGCGGGGGCAGGCGGGAGGCCCTGCAGGGAGACACCCCGGCAGACAGGGGTGCACCCCCACGGCGCCCCTTGCAGGCCAGTGGGAGGCCACGCAGCGGGTTCACCCTGAGCAGGAAGCTGGCGAGGCCACTTGGGGGAGGTGGGGAGGCCTGTGGCTGGCACCGTGCGGCGGTCAAGGTCGTAAGTCAGGTGGGCGAGCCGCCCGCCATATGGCCCTCTGGCCGCGGCTGGGGGCTAGGCTGGCCGCTCCCGTGGCCCACAGGGAGCGCGAGACCTGGCCATGGCGACCAGACGCTCACGGCCGGTGCCCACAGCCCGCTCATGTGCGGGCAGCCTGCCGGCCTACCTGGTGGGGTCTGTCCGCGGCCGGCCGCGCCCCCGTGCCTCAAGGGCCTCGCTCTGGGGGCCGTGCTGGGTGGGCCGAGCCGGGAGAGCCGGGCACGGGGCCCGGAGCAGGGCCACTGCTGGCCGGGCCTGGTCCCGCTTGGCGCCTCTGTCCCGGTGGGGCCAGGCGCCACCCTTCCCTGGCGCAGCACGGCTGTCCTGGGAGCGGAGGTGACGGGCGTGAGCCGTGGTCCGGCTGCACCCCCAGGGCCCCGAGGGCCGGGCCCTGGGCCTGCCCCAGCGGCCAGGCTTCGCTGGCCAGCGGCAGAGGGCGTGAGCTACCTGGAGGCCCAGCGTGGTGCACAGGGGCCTGGTTGCCAGGAATTGCCCGTGGGGGATGACCCGGCCCCCAAGGTGTCCGACTTTGGCTTGGCCCGGCTGCCCAAGGACAGTGGGCCCCGGGCCCGCCTGCCACTGTCTCCTTGCCCAGGACGTTGTCCACTCCCGGGGCAGTGGCCCCAAGATCCCCATCAAGTGGACGGCTCCTGAGGCCACCAGCTACCTCATGTACCCTGAGAACTGCGGCCCTTCGGCGTCCGCCTCTACAAGGTCTTCACCTACGGCCAGTGTCCCTGTGAAGGCGGGCGGGGAGGCCTGTTCTCCCCTGGGAGGGCACCCCCGCGGCCTGCTGGGCAGGGAGGCGCAGGGGGCGCGGC